CTGCAGATTTATGCGCCCCGCCTTGCAGCGCTGATATCCGAGAACTCGCGACCTGCTCCGTCCGTAATGAAAGAAATAAATTTACTCTCCTGGCTGCCCCGGGGATTGAGACTCGCTGTTCCGTGCACGCACACACCGACACCCCGAACACCCTGATGGGACGAATCAGAAGCGTAGATATACCGAGCCTTGCCTTCTCTCTCTTCTCTCCTCGTCGTCTCTCTTTTCTACTCCGTCGTGCCCTCTAACTTTCTACCGCGTTATTATTGCCTGCACAAAGCCCACGCGACACCCGAAACACTATACCAACGCGATATTTATTGTGTTTTTGAATTGAGTGAAAATGTGTTCGAGCAATAGGGAATTTTTGTTATTTTTATTTTTATCGCGACGGAGAAATTAAGGGATTGTCAGTGTGACGAACTGACAATGATGATAAAGAAGAGTTCGGGTTTTGATTGACGTGTGTGTGTGAATAATAAAGGCAAATTTTAATGATTCCACAAACATTGTTTTTATTAAAGCGGTATGGAAACTCAACGATATTTACAAGAAATATTTACAGTGCAAATAATGTCTATGGTACATTACATTTCTTCGATTGGAATACTTTACATAATAGACAAAAATGGTAATCCAATATATATTTTCTGAAATAAATTAAACGATCGTTAAAAATTCTCTTTACAACGACTGCATTTGAAGAAAGAACAAAAGAAAAAGAGAACGAAATTCAATCTTACGAAATAATACGCGCGCTGCTTTTCTCTTCTTCCCCCGATTTAACCACCGTTACAACCTTTCTCTTACGCGAACAATACGAGAATAACTTAGACGTGTTTTTTTTTGTTTTTTTTTTTTTTTTGTTTGTTTCACTTTATCATTAGATACAGCTTAGATACCACCGTTAATATTATTTCTGATTATTGAAAATAAAAATGAAAGAAAGAAGGAAAAGAACAAAAAAAAAAGAGAAAAAAAGTAGCGTAATATCACAGTTACATCGTGGACGTGGAACATGCACGACCGTCTGAAGACTCGCGTTACCATAGGAGGAAGGCGTTCAATGGGTATATTCGTCGTATATATCGTACAATTTTCATCAGCACGTACCATTGTTTTCGTCGAATCAAATTGCATCACTTTGAACACAAGTCAAGAAACGTGCGAAATAACGTGTCCTCTGTTGAATATGGAAGTTAAAAAAAACAGCACAGAAAAATTTCGTCGTTAACGGTTCTTCTCTATATGTACTATCTATACACAGGTTGTGTCCAACGATTTTCACATATATCAAAATACCTTAACGCACTTAGAGCGTGCTGTATAAAAAACATTCCCTACCGGCTTAAGGATTCTCGAAAGATTTACTGGC